GCTTCTCCAGGAAACCTGCCTATCTGTAGGGCGTTAGGTCTTGGTGAGGAGCGCATGGGGCCCGAGTTCGCACCTCCTCGCAAGCTCTAGTTCTCACTGCTACTCTCACTCTCCGATCCAGTCCAGGAAAAACAAACTCCCTTCTCCTGCCCCCAGCACCGAGAGACGCCGGGAATTTCAGACACGGGGGCTGGCGGTGGAGGACACGAGCAGATCCGGAGTCCCCGCTGCGCGCCCAGGACCCCGCGGGCTGCAGGGGCGTGAACACCAACCCCCTTCCCCGGGGACCACACTGCCGCCTCACCGCGAGTCCCGAAGACGGCCCCACTCACCCTGGGGACAGGGACGTAAGACTTAGGGGCCCGGACACGAACCAGGCCCCGATGGACAACCGAGAACAGAACAAAGAACGGAAGTGCCCCCTCCCCGTTTCATTTCCGGGTCGTCCTTCTTCACCACCCACTGCAACCCCTGAGAGCCGAACGCCCATTTGCTCTCTCTAGGAAAATAGGAGGTCTTCATCTCTGATGGTACGCTGACTCAAAGACGACTGCTGTGCAGGAAAAACAAGTGCTCCGGACTGCGTCACCTGCTGGCCAGGTCGGGAAGGGACCTGGGAATTCAGGGCACAAGTTCCGATGTCTCTGGGAGAAGGTACAGTGGGTAGGGACCAGCCAACACCATCTCCCAAACCTCCACAACAAATTTAAGAAACTTGAAGAATCTGTTAATATACATGAGCATCATGGGCTGAAGGTTCGGCTCAGTTGATTTTTTTAAGAAGATTTGTTTATTTTATTTGTTTTGTTTTTCGAGACAGGGTTTCTCTGTGTAACCCTGGCTGTCCTGGAACTCACTCTGTAGACCAGGCTGGTCTCGAACTCACAGAGATCCACCTGCCTCTGACTCCCGAATGCTGGGATTAAAGGCGTGCGCCACCAGCACTCAGCTATGAAGTAAGCTTTTCTATAGGACTCATATGCTATCTGATGATATTCTTAGCTTTTGGGTCAGCGCGTGTGCACATGCCCGCAAACACACACACACAAACACACATTGAAAATAAGTAAGTAAATAAAAATCATCTCCCATGTGTAACTAACATCTGAAAAATTCATTCTGAGACAGATGAAGGGGACCTAGTTCTCCTTGGGCCCTAGACAGGTGTTAAGCATTTTAAAAATAGTGTTAAATTGCTGTTAGCATTAACGTTTCTTTGTCTTGTTTTTCTTCTAATGGTAACCGCTTTAAGTTTATAGCATAGCCGGGCGTTGGTGGTCGATGGGGGCCATTTTTTTTTTTTTTTTTTAAGATTTACTTCTGTGTGCATTGATGTTTTGCCTGAATGTATGCCTGTGTGAGGGTGTCAGGTCTCCTGGAACTGGAGTTACAAGTTGTGAGCTGCCATGTGGGTGATGGGAATTGAACCGGGGACCTCTGGAAAAACAGCCAATGCTCTTAACCTCTAAGCCATCTCTCCAGCCTATCAGGGGCCATTCTTATTCAAACCACCACAACACTGCACCTTCCCTATTGGTACAATCAAGCAGGATAAAGGCTTCTCTTATGTGATTTGCTGGCGGCAGCTTGATGGCTAGAGTCCTCTGCCAGAAAAGTGGTGGAGACTTCTACAAAGTTGCTTGATCACTGTGTTGTGGTTTGAAAGAAAATGGTTCCCAAAGGGAGTGGCACTATTAAGAGATATAGCCTTATTGGGGGAAGTATGTCACTGGGTA